CTTCCATGAGCTTCCGTTGCCAGGTGTTCGAGGTGGCCAAGATTCATCGTCACCACCTAGTCAACAGGTAACACTCATGACCCAGTAGCTACGAATTGTTTCCATTACCCAGTCATTATGGGTTTCTAGGACAGAGAGAGCTAGGAAGGAAGTTTAACAAGTTCTACCTATTTAATCAGAAGGTGAACTGGAGATTTGTGTTCTAAAATTCTCACTAATAAATCTATTGAATTTAATAACTCTCACTTCTATTTTCCAACAAGATTTTTATTACAAAAAAATCTAAAATGACATTTAGAAATGATTTTCTAGTTGAATTCCCTTACCCGAAGAAATCAGGTCACTGCATACTGATAAAAAAGAAAGTAAAAGGATAAAAAAGACCAAAACAATACAAGTATGAGGAGTTCGGAAATCAATAAAGATGGCAGAGTCTAAAAGAACTATAAAGTTAAGAATAAACTACCAGTCACACTCCATGCCATATCCTTTCTTAAGCAACACTTCAGGAGCAATATAATCTGGTGTTCCCACAGTTGAAAATGCCTTTCATGGAAAGATAAAAACCACCAGATGTTAGTGCCAAAGTGCTTTTTCGAATTGATTGGCAATAAGAAGTAGAGTTAGGCAGAGTCCAAGAAAATGATGATATTGGCAAAAGATGAGATTAATAATTACATACCAGTTTCCTCCTGTTCATCTGCCAATGCTGAAGCTGTTCAAGGGGGCTCCTCCAACTACTCTTCTTATCCGCATCAGGAAAACGCCCATCAACATCCATGGGTTCCATCATAGTTTCATCATCAATAGTCTTATCTTCATGAATCGCACATAACGTTATACAATCAAGAGGCTTACAGAGGCCAAAATCCGAGAGCTTCATGTGACCATATTTGTCCAAAAGAAGGTTGTCAGGTTTAATATCTCTGAAAGTAAAAATAAACTTAAACCAATCAAATACCTCATTCTACCATTTAGTTGAAAAGGGATATATTAACAGGACAATGAGTAATCAACCTGTGAATGTAGTTATGTTTGTGAATAGACTCAATAGCCAAGACACTTTGAGCAATGTAAAATCTAGCCACATTTTCACTTAAGGTGTCCTCTCTCATAAGTAGAGTCATCATATCACCACCAGGAAGATATTCCATAATTAAATATAAGTACTCAGCATCCTGAAATGAGTAATACAGTTTCACTATGAAGTGGCTTGCAACTTCAGCCAGCAAGTTTCTCTCAGCTCTAACATGTTCCACCTATAGAATGGAAAGGCATTTAATCAAAATATATGAGCATTTTACGTAGAAATACAATTTCCCAAATAAGAATATAGTACCAGAAAGGTTAAATGACCAAGTCAGAAATGACATGAAGGTCAAATGATCACAATTTAAGAATGTCCTGTAAAGGTTCAACAGTAGAACAGAAAGTTCTAGAAAACAAAAGACCAGAAGCAAACCATTAATGTATTCATTTAGATCTTACAGTTACTACAAGACATATCAAACTGTCCTCATCCAAATCAAAGCTTGCAGGCACTAGAGCCTGTAAACCTTACATTAAAAAAATAAAAAAAGAAGCCTTTCTTTATGAGAAAATATTTATTAGAAAGAGAAAATGTACAGAATATGAAGTATAAGATATCCTCCCAGAACAAAAACAAAAGTACAAATAAAAGATAAACATCGTTAAAGTAAAGCAGCCCCATATCTTTTTTAAGATGGCTGAAGAAACCCAAAAAACAATCCTGTGCAGCTTGGTCCATAAGAAAGCCAAAAACCACTTTTATACCAACATGTGAGAAATAAGATTGCTAAAAAAAGATTCTCATAAGATATTCCAACAATAAAACCCACACATTAGCAAACAAAAGCAACCATGCGTAAAACCTTAAGCTCTTTGCTCTTTTTGATCGCTCAAAGAATAGAGATGAAAGGCAGAAGGTTGCAGGACAAACAAACAAAAAAGACTATAATAATTACACAATTTGTTTATCAATTAAAATTACGAAATAGCTATCATCAGCATTTATTTTGTGGTGCTTCCTAGTTGCCTTTTTTTGTCAAAGAATAATATTGCTTTTAGAAATTACTATTTGATGATGTACTTATTGATTTTTTTTCCATAATTTTTCACTTGAAAGAAAAAATAAATAAATAAGCAAATTTGGTTACTTTAGACAAGCAGTCACGTTTTGCTTTGAAATTTGCTACCAATAAAAGCAAATAAAAGTCATTAATGACTTTTTTTAGTTACTAAATACACCCATAACTTTCGAAAAGATCAATATGGAATATGCATAAAAATATTTCAACTTCTAAGAAAGTAAAAACTTCCTTAAGTACAATATAATTATATTTTTTTGTATTTTCATAGTATTTTAAAAAATATTGCTACAAGATACAAATATTTTGTACAAAGTCTCAACAATATTTCTGTAGAACTAACCGACCAAACACACAGATTCTTTTGATGAGAGGAATTTTTTAATTAGACCAACTAAAAGAAAGGTTTTCTGAAAAGAAATCTTTTTTCCCACAGCATTACCAAGCAAAACCTTAAACTGAATCTAGAAGGTAAAACAATGAGAAGATATATTAGTAAAAAATGAACTGCTGACATTATCTTTTGATATCAGAATCAGTTGATATACTGTGGCCATCACAGCGTGAATTGTTGATATATTTAAATCTCACCTGTCCTCTCATGAGCATTTCAGATTTCTTTAACTTCTTCATTGCATAAATGTTGCCAGATTTCTTTTCTCTACATAAACGAACCTGCAGTTTGTAAAGCATGGGCAGAAAATATATTTTAAGACCGCCAACAGTTGGAAGCTTAAATAAAAGCAATGAAGGAACTATTTTTTCCAACTATCAGTTATTAACATGAGAATGAAGTCATCCCAAGTATGTTGTGCATGTCATCTACCTCACCATAGGCCCCCCTTCCAATGATTGTCAAAAGCTCAAAATCATCTACACATATCTTGTGCCTTTTTAGTCGCATAAACTCTGTCTCTTTTCGCTCTAAATCTTTGATCATATTCATCTTTTGCTCCTTGGGCACATCAGAAGAAGCCAATTTTCTTTCTAAGATCCATCTTCTGCAGTAAAACAAGTCAGGTCACCTACTCAAAGACTGCAGTTTCTGGGCCAAAGTTTTAAAGTGACATTAAGAAGTAGAAAAAAAAAAAGAAACATCAAGATGATAATAATGTCCAGAAAATTAGCTTGTACAAGGTCTGGTTTCTATTTTTTTAAAAAAAAAATATATTAGAATTAAAAGGTACCAAGGGAGTACTGTCCATATACAAAAGAATGTTACATGTCAATTAGTATATCAACAAACGCTCCAATATCTTTTATGGATAGTAAATTGTGACCCAAATGTAAGGAGTCAAAATATATAACCATCTATCTCTAATATTTACAAGAGTATTTTCAATATCCTCAAAAGCATGGTTGTTACTCGTTTTCCACAAAATCCAAAAAATGGTGAGGGGAATAAGGCAAGCAGCTTTGTTATATGAAAGTAGACCTTCCCATGCCAAAAGCTCTTTGTGGATAGAGCCCGCCATTACCCAATTTATACCCATCAAGTTGTAAATCATAGACCATAAATCTGTACAGAAAGGGCACCACAACAAAATATGGTTGCAGCTTTCAGTGTTGCATTTGCAGAGGAAACACTGGTTGACCAAAGTTCTGCCTCTTTTCATCAAATTATCCAAAGTCAGAATTTTCTCCTCAACCGCTTCCCATGAAAAGAAAGCAATCCTGGGGGGAGCATTTGTTTTCCATATAGATTTAAATGGAAATGGTAATTATTGCTCAGAATTGCTCCGGTCCCAAAAACCTGCAATCTTTTGTTAGAAAGAATTGATGGAGAACTTGCCATCCTTACTCAATGTCCAGATGAGGGTGTCAAGAGTGTCTTTCAAATGAACACTGGCCATAAAAGAAAGGAATTTCTCAAATTCCTCTAGTTCCCAACATTTAAGTTCCTGCTAGCCACAACACAGCAGTGACTCGAACTGTCAAAAGCCTCAGAAACCAGCAAATTTTTCTGTTGTGCAATAGCATAGATGGTAGGGAAAATAGATTTAAGGTTTCTTTCTTCACACCAAGAATCATGCCAAAAATTAATCTTGGTACCTTGACCAGCCTGCCAATGGGTGTTAGCAATTAGCTTATTATAATTGGCTAGTGTACCTTTCCAAGCACTAGTACCATGTGGTCTTTTAGGAAAGAAGAATCTGTCATCATTGTCTTTCTTCATCCATTTAATCTCCACAACTTTCTTCCAGAGGTTGTTATCCTCATATAATATCTTCAAATCCATTTTCCATGGAAAGCTTTGTTGATATTAGCAATAGATCTTATGCCAAGACCCCCCCAACTTCATCGGTAATTGAACTTCTTCCTATTTAACAAGATTATACACTCTTTTGTTCTCCGTACCTCCCCATAAAAATCTGTTCTGGATAGCTTCAATGCGTTTAGCAACTCTACTAGGGATGGACAGCACCGAAAGGAAGTATATGGGAAGGTTGGATAATGTGTTTTTAATAAGAGTTAACCTACTACCTTTGGACAGGAAACCTCTCTTCCAGTTTGCCAATCTCTTTTCCACTAATTAATCCCAAATCTTCTAGAACTCATACAGCAAAATCAATCATTCATATATATCTAATGGAAAATTTTTCTTATCAGTTATCTTTTGGCACTGTATGCTAACATGGTTACTTTCTGTTAGAAGTTTATAACCCAGATTTTAACATAATGCACACTGTTTTTAGTCTAATGCCAGCAAAATGCATAACTTTTGTGTAGATGATAATATAAATATCAGGTAAGGTGATTCAACCAACAAAAAACAGATCTATATAAGTAACTTTTATTTTTAAAAAAAATACTGCAGTAAAAATGCCAAAAGCAAGATGTTCAATGGAAGCAAATGCATACTATTGATCAACTGGAACACAAAAAGCAATTTCAGGGCTGGAATGCTGAATTTATGCAGCAACCTGTAAACCCCAAATATTCTGATTCCCAATAACTAAATGTTGTGCACATCCTCTAAACAAACTAGAGAAACCTCATTCCTTCTTCCTTAATTGATGATGCAAAACAAACTGCATATGGGACATTTTAGAAGGGGAAAATAATTTAAATCCACATAATCCACAAATTATACAAACATGAAGTACACAAAACTGTATTGCATCAAGAAACATATATCTTCGACTAAAAGTTATATGTTCCCTAATTAGCCATTTCAGACCAACTAAAGATTTTGGTTTCAAATTTGTTTCCAGGAGCCCAAAGTCATAGGACTTCTACTGCATCCTGATCTAATCAGTGCATTTTTTGAGAGAAACAGATATAAAGCACAGGTCGTAGAGAGTATCCTTTTATAGTTCAGGGATTTACTCTTCACCAATTTTATCTTGGTGAACCTGAATAAGGTATAAGTCCATCCAGATTATATTACCAGAAAAACAAGAGACGAGTTTAGTCAGTGTTAGGACAAGGATTTACTCGAATATTCCATACTATATGCATTTTTTAAAATGAACCAACTAAACTCAGCCAATCCTTTTAACTGTCCTGATTTTAGTTGTGCTCACCCCCAAATTCCAATTTCTTTTGGTACTTTTTGCCACTTAACAAAGCCACCAAGTCTAACTAAATGATAAATCACATAAAGCAACATACGGAATCGGGCAATGTTGAGTGAGATTTCGCTTTTTTAAAAATGAACAAACTAAACTTAGCCGATCCTTTTGACTCTCCTGATTTAAGTTGTGCTCATGCCCAAACACTCGCTTTATTTTGGTACATTTTACCACTTACCGAAGCCACCAAGTCACGCTAAAGATAAATCACATAAAGCAATATGCAGAATCGGGCAATGTTGAGTGAGATTTCGCTTATCGGGGGTTCCAAATTGTGAACAATTTATGAATTAAAAAGGTACATTTTTCCCCGAATACTATAAGGCACCAAACAGATAAGCCAGCGCCAGCCACCAGAGAATCTTTGAGTGCCCAAACAATGAACAGTCCAACATTCAATATCTGTATCTCATTTTCATCATAAAGAATAACCAGTTCAATCTCATTAAATCACCAGATATTCATTCTCTCAGCAACCAAACAAAGCATATTGCAGTAGAAAGTGAAATTTATAAGAGAATCGAAAATATAATCAATTATTTTTTTAAAAAAAAAAGGAAAAATCAAAACCTCTCTTTGCGCTCTTGAATGTTCTTCCTCTGAGCTCTGTAATGATTCTCTATGTACTGCTTCGCTGCGGCCACCTTCTCCATCGTCAAACTCGACCCCAGAACCTCCTCTTCTCCGTTTGCCTCCTCTTCTATACCCTCCATACTCTCTTTCTTTCTCTCTCACTCTCTCTCTCGTTCTCTCTCTCTCTCTCTCTGTCTTCTTTCAAGTGACAACTCTACAAAAAGTGCGAACTTTCTCTCTCCCGCACTGAAGTTCTCATTTATTGCAACAATGAGGAGGAGAACCTCCGGTCAATCTGCTGCATCGACTGTAGATTCAACCACACCTATCAACATCTCTTATCATGCCACGTGTCAACATCACCAACCATTGATGACGTGTACGGTCCCATGCGGTGGGATGTAGTGGGCTTCTCTTGCTTTGGGTTTATAATGTTAAGTTCTATTATTAATTTAATTTTTTAATCAGCATTTTTATTGATTAATCAGTCAGTATAACGAGTGATGTCAGTGGGACAAGTAAAGAGTTCACGCGCTTTATCTTCGCGTGTCCTTAACTTCATCACGTTTTGGTAGGGAGGAGAACGTGTCATTCTTAGGTCATAAATGACATTCCAACTTATTTTGCTGATTTTAGTACAGGAAAAACTACAGCTTGTGGGGTCCACTTGCCGGATCTGATTGGACCGTGTTGTCCAGTCTCCTTACCTGGTCAGTGATTGGCTGTCTCGGTTTACTGTATGGGTTAGTCTTACGTATAACTGTCACACGGAACACCCAATGTATACTTGAATCATTGAGTAAAAATAAATCATTACTATTTTTTTAACGTTAATATATATTTTGTATCCAAAAAAATTTAATATACATTATGAAGACATGAGCTTCTACATCACATGCTATTAAATTTTTTAATAGATTTTGAGTATAAAAAGTAATGTTTAAAACAAAAAACATAATCTTTTGTTTTATTCGTAATTGATTTCTATTATACTTAACATAATATATTAGCGTCATCATGCAAATAATATATCGTTAATTATTATATAAATTTAGTTAAATAAATTTTAATTCAATTCAAATTTAAAAACATAACGTATCTTCTTTTTCAATCCTTTTATTATATTTTAACACTCAATATGATAATTTAATTATATATAAACAAATATAATTGTTAAATTTTATATAAAAACTTAAAAATTTACATAAAGTGATCCAACAAAGTAAAAAATCATAATTTACAGATTGTATAACATATATAGTTAAAAAATTATTAATCTATAATTGTATTAAATAGTTATGAATTCAATATTTATTTATCATATATTATATGTATATATAATTAATACATTTTAATTTTATTTTTAAATATACTCAAATTATTAAATTTTGACTAATAAATATATAATGTTATATTTTACAATATTATTTTTATACTTATTATTGAGTAAATTATGTTTAAATATATTTTGTCTTAATTAACATTTAAGATATTTTAATAGAGACTCACTTGCTAGCTTGTTTAGTCATTAAAGAATATTTGTACAATATTAAAGAAATTTTATTATAATTTTCTTATCAATAAAAGATTAAGAAATAATTAAGAATTTATATGGTTAACTTTGGACAAAAAAATATACTGAATAAGAAGAATTTTCCTCCTCAAATTTGCCATTATCTGATGTAACCCTATGAGGGTGTTCCAGTTACCGGGGAGCAACCATCAGATTTCGCGCCAATTTGAAAATAAGGCATAGGAGAAGCTTGAACTAAGGAAATGGAGTCGAGATTTGACGACAAAACCCAATCTCATAAAGCCTAATGATCCAGTTCATACAAGTTTAGATCGGGTAAGATACATCATCGATGCCATCAAGACCAGAAAAGCCTTATGGGCCGTTGAGACATTTAGCCCAAAGAAACATCAACGACGATGAGTTGTGGGCATTCGAATTGATCATAGAAGACACATATGGCATGTCTAAGACAATGCACATATAGTAGGTACCCATGGGTGGGCAACCCGAATCACCCGGCTTGCTAGGCCCAACTTGTTACCTAGCAAGTCGCACGCCCGAGGAGGATGGCCCATGCCCCATGCCCCTGCAGGTGGGTCAATCGAGGCCCATCGGGAAGACTTGAAGATTGACCCTCATCCCGATGCCTGATTCAGCGAACCCGCACTTGAGGGAGAAGAAATCAGGTCGAATGCCCGACCCAGCAGCAGTCGCAGGCCTAGCTAAGGAGAGACCCGAACAGGCCACAAACCCCTAAGGCCCGAAGGCCGTGCACACACGTGTGGGCTTCCCTAACTCAAACAGACGAGGTGTGTGTGTGGTAAGTTTTTGGACTTTTTTTTCACAAGGTCTATGTGATTTTTTAACTAAAAATTTACAAAATTCATATAGTAATTATCACCTTATTATTTTATTGTTATTGTTTGAATTAAAATTTATTATATAATATTTTAATTTTAAAATCATCATAAACTATTATTTTATTATATTTTTAATCTTAATTATTTATCCTATTATTTTAATGTGATTTCACATGTGTTTTATATAGATTTTACATGAAATAAATGTGTTTATTTTAATTGATATTTTATTACAAGTCTATCATTTATAATTATTTAATTAATTTATTTGAGATAAAGTAATTATTTTATTATATAATTATACTATATTAAGATAAAATTTTATTTAAAGTATTATTTTATTAAATTATCTCAAATTTTTGTACTCATCTAGATTGTTCAAAAACAATTATAAATAAGTATTTGCCCGTAAGATGTAAACATACTATTTGATAATAAATTTGAGAGAATTTTTGAGAGTTTCAACTTTTCTTTTTTTAGTATTTTTATTAAAATTAGTTTTTCCAAGTTTTTCGGAATGTAAAAGTTTTCAGAAGT